AGCCCAGCCTGAGACCCCTGCAGCCGCTGACCGGGCAAGGCTTCCCGTGGGAGGGCTCAGCCGACCCAGAGACGGCTGACTCAGGGAGCCTCCGCGGCTGTGGGTTTTCTCAGGGTTTCCTGCGCCCAGCCCAGGCAAGGGTTCTGCACTTTTAGCCTGCCTCCGAATCACCCGAGGGCCTGTTAACACCCATAGCTGGAAGCCACCCCTGAGATTCTGATGCACGAGGTCTGTACCAGAGCCTGAGAATTCGCACATCTAACCAGCTCCCAGGCCTTGCTGCTGGTCCAGGGACTGCGTGTTGAGGGCCACTGTCACAGAGTTCTCCTAGGCCTTTGGCTGCTAGGACCTCTGATTCTGCCATTCTGCCTTGGGGTGTGAGAGATTGATTTTAGATATGAAATCCCACCTTTTGCAGTGGGTAGAGAACTGGTAGAACTTGTTTTTCCAAGAGATTGGGTTGGCTGGGAATGAAATACTGTTGTGTGGAAGCCTGTTTGCTAGATCCAACTCTGAAAATGTAACAAACCTCTGAGTCTCTGAGCGGTACTGGGAACCTCCTCACTTCTGTGTGCTTGTCTTTTTTCTTGAACGTGTCTCACCTCCCTGCCCACATTATAAAGCTCTTGAAAGCAGGAACCATATGGTCTCTAGTGTCCTGACGAGATAGCATGTGCTCAAGAAATATTTGTGGGGTCAACCAAAGCCAAGAGAAGTTCCCAGCCAGGAGGATGGAGAAACGTTAGGTGTTCTAACTTCGCAGCTACAAGGCAGGAACACTCTTGCCTCAGGGAAGGGCCAGGAGTGGCAAGCAGTAGGTCAGCTTTCTAAGAAGTAAGGCGGTTGGGTGGGGGAGCATTGTGCTTCTGGGGCTGACTTTTCCCTCCTGCCTCTGGGTACCTTCCCACAGACCCAATGGGGTGGGCGTGGTGCTCCCAGATGCCCACGGAAGTGTATTTAACCCCAAGCAAAGAACCAAGACACCGGGACTTCCCTGGTGGTCCGGTGGCTAAGACTCCGCGCTCCCAATGCAGGGGACCCAGGTTCGCTCCTGGGGCAGGGAGCCAGATCCCACACGCGTAACTACAGAGCCCGCACGCAGCAACGAAGATATCCAGCCAAACAAATGCATATTTAAAAAAAAAAAAAAAAAGAACCGAGAAACCAGTGGAGAAACAGGGAACTTGGGAGCAAGGAAGAGAAGTATTTCGTAATCACAAAGGAAGGATACAGCACATTAATTTCAGACACGTTGTCGCTAACTAGATTTTCATAGCCTGGCTGGAGAGCCAGCCACAGTTCACAACATTGTCTCTCTGGAAAAGCACCTCCAGCTGGAGCGCAGTTTGGTTAAAGGGACTGCCTGCAGGCAGGAAGGGAGGACGCTGCTCTCCCTTTTTATCGGCTCTTAGTTGGCATAACTATTAGGCCGATGTTGGCATCTGGCTTTGTGGGAGTAAGATTACAGTCAATCACATCCTTTTTTTTGTCCAGTTGCATTTTGCAAAACAACAGTTGATAACAGTGCAGTTGACAGACTCAAAAGGCGAGGGGCCCTGGAGTGGGTGAGAGGGACCTGAGAGTCTGATGCCAGGGAAACATTAGTTCTCCCTGAATATCCCTAGGGCCCTGGCCCTAGCAGAAGGCTTTGATGATTGGAGCGGGCAGAGGGCAGTTTTCATCTGGAGCTGCCAGGTTGGGAGGGGCTAACCTCCCCCCTCCAAAGAGCCCCCTGAGTGTTCTTAGTGCCTCCTGGTCCATTTATTTTAAAAGGAGCCAGCTATTCTCTGAACCCCCTTAAGTCTCCTTGAGAGAAGTGGGGTGTGGGCTAGAGAGGGTACCTTCTCTTTTACAAAATCTCCTCCTGGGAATTCACTGGTGGTCCCGTGGTTAGGATTCTGGGCTTTCACTGCTGGGGGCCCTAGTTCGATCCCTGGCCAGGGAACTTAAGATCCTGCAAGCCTCGCGGAGCGGCCAAGAAATAAAAAAAGGTCTCCTCCCTACGATCCAGGGCGCAAAGCTAACGAGAAGGAACGGCAGGCGGCCCTGCAAGTGGCTGAGGACTTCATCGCCCGCATGCGGTATGCCCCAAACACTCAGGTGAGGAGCCTCCCTTCCACCCAGCGCCCTCCTCCTGGGGCTCTTCCCTGGCCTCCTGCCTCTCAGACTGGACAAGAAGGGTGGAAAAGCCTGGGGCACAGTCAGAAGCAGTCAGGCCTCCCTCCCAGGCCTACCCAGTGGGAAAGCCCTTCTCAATCCTTCCAAGCTTTACAATACATGGTATTTTCTAAGAGGGTGTTTGGGCAGTGCTCCCCCGGGAGCCCAGCAAGTCGGGTACACCTCTGGGGCTTGTGCGTCTCCTCTGGGCCGAGGTCCCTAGCTGGTTCTGCCCCTGCTCATCCCGGCACGGCGACACCACAGGTCAACCTGATGGGACCTGATAAGGCTCATGTATAATTGGTGCCTCTGTGAAACCGCACCTGAGTCCTCGAAGCAATCTGTTTTCTCAGCCCGCGTCCCTGTAATCTTTCTCGTCTCCTGGCTTATCTGGGGAAGCTTCCCTGGCCTGGATGGCATATGGACTTGGGCCTGGTGCCCATCACCCTCCTCCCTGGCTCCGGCCCTCCCCGGCAGAGGCAGAGGTGGCAACCTTGTGACCAGACTCCTCCCCTGCTGATCCCACAGGTGGAGATCCTGCCTCAGGGCCGCGAGAGTCCCATCTTCAAGCAATTCTTCAAGGACTGGAAGTGAGGGCGGGCGTCTCCCTGCCCCCACCTGCTGCCCGCTTGCTTCTCCTCCAGCTTCCTGGTCAGTGCCGAGGTGCCCCCCGCGGATGATCAATAAAGGAGACCAGTGCCCTCTGCCTGCACTGCCTGCCTTGGGCTAATTCTTCCTGCTCCACCTAGTCATGCTGGGCGGAGTAGGACCCAGGGGACAATTCCACCACCCGTGAGAGGCCAGAGCTGGCTTTGCGTGATGAGGCAGAGGGGCCAGAAGTCCCAGTGGGCCTGGCAGGCACTGCTGTGAACCCAATAGGGAGGTGGCACAGGGCCAGGGCTCAGGATCACTTTCCGCCCGAGGTTCGGTTCAGTCTCACATTCCCGACGGGGAGAAGGTTGTGGCGGCGGCTATGGGATTCATCTCCATTCAAGCCAGTATTTCCTCAGGGGCCCCAATAATCCGCTGCAAGGCAGCTTCCAAAGGATGTGTGCTCACCAAGCAAGAGCCCAGCTCTGCACCTCTGTGCGGGAGGCTGGCTTGTCACGTCGTTGCGTCGGGCATTCGGCTGATGAGCTCAGGGCCACGTGGGGCCGTGGGAAAAGCACCCGACTAGTGTCCGAGGGTCATGGGGTCTGGTTCTCACCTGCCTCTGTTTGAGCCTGGGCAAGTTGCTTTTCCTCCTCTGGGTCCTAGTTCATTCTCTTGTGTAACGGGGTAGTGGCTGGAAAAGCAAAGAGGCTAGGCAGCTAAATAGGCAGAGAATGGAGTAGCCCCAAAGCAGTCCCACCCTGGGGGACATGACCTGGCCAGGGGGAGGGGGCGTGGTATGAGCAAGGCGGGAGCTGCGTAAGCCCAGACCAGAAGGACCGGAGTCCACGAGGCCTGGCAGGGTTGCAGCTGTCCTGACCCACTCTCACCCCGGGCCCTCCAGGCTAAGTGGCTTCTGAGCTCTGACGTGCTGGATCTTCCATCCCAAACAGAAATTCTGATCAAGTTCATCTCAGTGATTTTTGTGCTGAGAAGCATAGAGAAATCAGCTCCCCGTGCATCCCCCTGCTGTTTTCTCCACACAGAGATATCTCGGGAGTCCACTGGACAGCCTCTGCAAAGAGCGTGCGCCAGGGATGACTTTTAAAAGGGGAAAGAGTAAGGGTTGTACCAAATCCATGGTTCTGACCTTTTTAGGGCTGTGAAGCATTTTAAGTCTCTCATGAAAGGCCTTGGAAGGCCTTTCCTAAGAAAAATGCATAGATTAAGATTTTTGCATCTACTTTCAGAGCATTTAGACGACCCCCCAGCCAATCCATCAACAGAACTGCAACTTAATCCCTGGACTGTTATTGCGAGCGTTCCCAGGTCCGAAGTTGTCCGGAGAGCATCCCACCAAGAGTGATGTGGGACAGGCTTCTGCAGAGGCCATTGGCCTCCCCTCCAGCTAGAGGCCCACGAATGCTGGTCCCTACTCTGCTGTGGGCTGAGCACTCATGGTCGAGGTCTGCTGAGCTGGCCTCAAGGTCCGAGCGAGGGAAAGGAATCTGCAGGAAAGGAACTGTTGAACTTGGCATTCTGAAGCGGAGGCTGGGCTGCGTTCTAACCCCACCAGGCCCAGTAATCTTGCTGCCATCTCTGCTGGTCAGCTAAGCGCCTCGTCAGGACGAAGGAGGTAGAGGATTAGTTTAGGTCAAAGACGACACGAGGCAAGCAGCAGGGTCCATTACCAGCCCCGCCCCTGAGGCCTCCTGCTGACAGGAGTCCCTTGCATACTTGGGTGGCCATCTGTCGTCTCCACCTCTGTGATGGGCCTCCCCCTGCATGGGGCGGACTTGGAGAGGCCTGCGGGGCTGGACAGTTGTCTTCCGTGACTCCACTTGAGGGAGGTCAGAGGACGGGAGAGCAGCCTAGCGGGGCTCTCACCTGCCCCCTGTTCCCCAGCGCCAAAGCCCCGGAGGCCCTTTTGTGAGTGAAGCGACAACAGCTAGCTTCCCCAGAAGCAAATACAGGACAAACACCAGCCAACTTTAACAAGAGCCAGGGCCGCCTTGCCCACTGGTTAGAGCATGCAGAGACTCCGGGTCTGTAAGTGCAGCAGGGTGAGGCTGGACAGTGTATGAACTTGGCGGGAGTGTGGCCAGGGCACAGCAGCCTCTCCTGGGCCCGTGACCAGCACCAGAGACAACCAGGACGTCACCCGGCCGAGTGCCTGGCTCTAAAGGGGACCCTGGGATAACACGGCCACAGGAAGGCACAAAGCTTATCTGGAAGGAAAACACTTGAGACTCTTAACCCAGAAGAATTCTTTTATTTAAAAACTGCTGGTACATGAATTTCCTCCTTCCTTTGCCCAGGCCAGAGAACCATCCCTGATGGGACCTGCACAGCCTCCACGGGGGTAGCCCAGCTGATGGGCGGTTAGGATGGGCGGCAGCAGACACCCAGCCCAGTGCCTGGCTCTGTGTCACAAGCAGTGGGGAGGAGGGATGGGGAGAGGTGAGGGTGGGATAAGTGCAAGGCCAGAGACCCCAGGGGATGGAGAGGAAGGCAGGCCCGTGTGCACTCTCTGGTTCATGCTGCCCCCTGTCAGCTGCTGCCACCGCTACCATCTCCCTTCACATTCTAACTACTCAGCCCATGTCTGGTCCCTGTCCCGTGGACCCGCGGCCTGAAAGCCCCGCTGCCAGGAGTCAGAACTCCGGCACCTCTCCTCGGGAATACCTTTGATGTAGGGCTGTGTGGAACACCCAGACGGGGTCTCCCACTTCATGATCTGTCACTGAAATGACCTGGAACCCAACTCTGGAAGCTGTAGCCCAACTAAGATTGTGGCAAAGTGTTCCTTGCTCTGGAGGCAGGTCTGCGGGGAGTGGGTCAAATTTAACAGCCCCTAATGTCTCATGCAGGTGAGGGTCCTTGGCTCCCCAAACAGGCTTCCTACATCCCTTCTGCTAGGACCGCAAGGGGCAGAACGGTGCCAGGGTACACCCTCCGAAAGCCCCTTCAAGGCTTTTGATCCGGTGGCCGCTCACTGGGGTTGGTCAGATCAGCCATGTGCCTTCAGAGGAGTGTGGTGGCAGGTCACACACTCCTGTGAAAGTGAGATCCTTGGAGGGAGGGGCTTGTGGCCCAGCACACTTCCGCGCCCCCAACAGGGAGGCCTGTCCCTTTGACACTCCAGCCAAGTAGATCTCCAGGGTCTTGAGCAGCCGTCTGGGGCTCTTCTTGGCCAACACCTCCAAGTCTGGAACAGAGAGGATTGGGGAGCAGAAGGCTTGTGGGGGCTGTGGAATGCACAACCCAGAGGCTCTGGAGAGGAGGGTGAAGGAGTCGTCTAAGATGGAGAGCTCACCAGAGAGGGAGACCCAGGAACCAGATTCGGCCACAGGGACCACACGCTCTACCCTGTCCAGGACAGTCTCAACTTTGAATAGCCAGTCCAACTGCTGGGCCCAGCTTTTGATTCAGAAAATATAGTCACCGGATGTACAGGGCCAGGAAGGGAGAAGAGTGGCGGCAGAGGAAGGAGAGTGGCAGGCTCTTGAGGGTGGGATTGGAGGCCCGGGGAAGCTGGAACTTGAGAAGCCGTGAATGGGGGGTGGGGGGAAAGGAAGGCACCCCAAACCAGTTCAGCAGCCACCCTGGGGTCCCTGAACCCGGGGACGCCAGGAGTGCAGGAGCTAGGCCTCCCCAGAAGAGCGAGCACACCTCTGAGGACAAAGCCCGAGTCAGAGATGGTCTTGTGCTGCGTCCTCCAGACGTGCGCGAGGCGGAGGAAAGTGGCGGCGTAGAAGCTGTTCACCACCGGGACCACCTTCTGCTGCCGGTTACACTCCCTGCAGGACGAGGGAGGTCACCTGCTCAGCAGTGGACAGAGGCTGACACCTGGGGGCCCTCCCGCCCTGTCCCCAAGGAGCCTTCACATCTGAGGTCAGGGTTGGGGAGGAGAGATGGGCTGCGAGGCTGGTGCACGGGGATCTCTCCAGGTACCCCAGAACCAGCAGGTGAGGGAGAGCTGGGAGGATGAGGCACGCGGGGGTGGGGGGTGGGAGGGAACCAGGCTCTGCTGGCCGGGGAGGGCAGGGTGACCAGCGTGGGGACTCACCTGGAGAGACATCCCTCCCTTAAGGCCTGGATGGTGATGCGGGTGATGTTCACGGACATCAAACAGAAGGGGAATTGCTGGAATGGAGTGGGTACTGGGTCAGTGGCAATCTAGGCTCTCACCTTCTGTGCTTCCCGTCACCCACAACCCGACCTGGCCCGCAGGAGATAACAATCACAGCCAGAGGCAAGCAGCTGGTATTACTGATGCTTACATTTAATGTTCACAATAATCTTCCCATTTTACAGAGGAGGAAACTGAGGGTCAGTGACCTTAAATAACTTTCCTAAGGTGTTGGAACCAAGACTCCTACTGAGGTCGATTCACTCCGAAGCTGGTGCACAAACCCCTGTGCTAGTTCTCCAGTCTCTTCAACATCCGATGCATCAGCTCTCCCTGGCCTTCACCGGGCCCGCCCCGTGTGCTGCCTGTGGACCACATCACCCCCTGGGGTTGGATGGACACAAGAGGAGTGAGGCTCAGTTATCTAACCAATTCTATAGGTTCTTAAAATCTCTTCTCCCCTTCTCTGGGCTTCTGGTTATTTGCTCATAAGCTCTTCACCCAAAAGCAGACAGAGAAGGTACAAGTAGGTAGAAAGTCAGCATTGACTTAGGGCGCACCCCATCTCTTAGTAACACAGAAGCCTGAGAATGGGCTGTGCAGGTCCCCCTCCCGAGCGGGGCAGACTGGGTCCAGCACGGCTGCTTTACCAGGAAGGGCCTCCAAATTCCCTATAGCATCCACCTGAATGCTTTCTTTTTGGAGAGGCCAGTTCCTTCCTATTCTTTAACAACAAAAACCCAAGCAAATGAAAAGAGGCTTTCCCCAGGGGATCTGCAAATACTGCATGTTAGTTTCCGCCCTTGAACCCACACAAGGACATCGGCTGAGAGGGACACATAGACCAGTGCGTTCCTTAGCTTAGAACAAGAGCCAAAGTCTATTTATCCCATCTGCCTCCCTTGAGAAGAAAAATCCGTTACATTGTGATGGAGAGCTGTGCTGTCCAGTACTATAGCAACTAGCCAGGTGTAGCTATTTAAATTTTAATTAATTGAAAATTCAGTAAAATTAGAAATTCAACTCCTTAGTCATACCAGCCGTATTTCCTGTGCTCTATAGCCACTCTTGCTTAAGAGCTGCTACGCTGGACAGTGCAGATAGAGAACATTTCCTTCATTGCAAAAAGTTCCAGTGGCCAGCACTGAACTGTAGAAGGTCTTCTGGCTCCACGGGGATTTTTCTCAGGGCCTTCCATGACACCTGGATTCCAGGTCTTGGCCTGGCCACCTGCCAGCTGTGTATACTTAGGAAGGCCACCCGAACTCTGTGAGACTCGGCTCTCCCGTCTCTCAAAACCAAAAAGGAAGTAAATTTTAAGTGCTGTGCAGAAAAGAGTGAACATGTCTGAAGAACCTAGGGGCAGGACAGGAATAAAGACGCTGACATAGAGAATGGACTTAAGGACATGGGGAGGCGGAAGGGTAAGGTGGGACGAAGTGAGAGAGTGGCATGGACGTATGTACACTACCACATGTAAAATAGCTAGTGGGAAGCAGCCGCATAGCACAGGGAGATCAGCTCGGTGCTTTGTGACCAGAGGGGTGGGATAGGGAGGGTGGGAGGGAGATGCAAGAGGGAGGAGATATGGGGATATATGTATATGTATAGCTGATTCACCTTGTTATAAAGCAGAAACTAACACACCATTGTAAAGCAATTATACTCCAATAAAGATGTTAAAAAAAAAAAAGTGAACACAGGCCTGAGATTGCCATCCTTAGAAAGGCCTGCTTATAAGGCTGGCATCTGGGAACTTGGATTTTGTGAGGGTTCCCACCATCCCCTCAGGCTGACTATTGTACCCAAACTGTGCAAACCATACGGTTTATGCTGAACACCTGCCTTCGCTCTGATTCTGGAATTTTGGTACGTGCTAGACAGATGGTGCTGCGTGACCAGCCCCCAGTAAAAACCTCGGATACTGAATCTCTGATGAGCCCCCTGGTTGGCAACATTCCACGTGTTACGCAATTCGATGCTGTTGGAATTAAGCGCGTCCCGTGTGACTCTACTGGGAGAGGACTCCTGGAAGCCCGCACCTGGTTTCCTATGGATGTTGTCCATGCACTTCCTCCCTTTGCTGATTTTGCTTTTGCTGCAGTAAATCACAGCTGAGAGTACAACTATACACCAAATCCTGGGAGTCCTCCCAGTGGTCCTGGGGACCCCCACACAAGGGCCGTGCTCAGTGGAGTCAATTCGTTAATCCTTACAAAAACTCTCCAGGGTAGCTTTTATTTTATTTTATTTTATTTATTTTTTATTCTTTTTTTTGCGGTACGCGGGCCTCTCACTGTTGTGGCCTCTCCCGCTGCGGAGCGCAGGCTCAGCGGCCATGGCTCATGGGCCCAGCCGCTCCGCGGCATGTGGGATCTTCCCGGACCGGGGCACAAACCCATGTCCCCTGTATCGGCAGGCAGACTCTCAACCACTGCGCCACCAGGGTAGCTTTTATTATCCACAGTCTACATTTTCTATTATCCCACAACCTACCTCACAGAGCTGCTCTAAGGAGTAATTTAGATCACATGTGCAAAATGCTAAGTGCAGCACTGGCCTGAGGAGGTGCTAACAGACGTTCATAATTATTATCTGCGCCTCAGTGGGTAGCTGAGGTCAGCAGCAATGCATCTCTACCTTCGGGTATTGCCTATTTAATTATAATATTTGTATAATATCATCCCTTCCCTTGCTTCCTTTCAGTCTAAAAATAAATATGGGAACAAGAACATGGTAGCAACATAATTAACAGAGGATCCGAACTTAGTGTTCATTCATTCTCAGGAATATTTTTATAAAAGCCTACTTACTAAAAAGCAGTGAAAACTGGAATTCAGATAGAAATATCTCCTTTCCTTCATCCCCCCAGGTGACTCTGAGGCGGGCTGCTGGCTGTAAGAAGCCCACGGCTGGGCGAGCTGTCAGGTGATGGGGGTCCTCGCCCCAGCTTCACCACTTAGTAGCTGCCCAGTTTTGTATATGCCCAGGAGTGAGATTGCTGGGTCATACGGTAATTCTATTTTTAGTTTTTTAAGGAACCTCCATACTGTTCTCCACAGTGGCTGTATCAATTTGCATTCCCACCAACAGGGCAAGAGGGTTCCTTTTTCTCCACACCCTCTCCAGCATTCGTTGTTTGTAGATTTTCTCATGATGCCCATTCTAACTGGTGTGAGGTGATACCTCAGTGTAGTTTTGATCTGCATTTCTCTAATAACTGGTGATGCTGAGCAGCTTTTTGTGTGCCTCTTGGCCATCTGTATGTCTTCTTTGGAGAAATGGCTATTTAGGTCTTCTGCCCATTTTTTGATTGGGTTGTTTTTTTAATATTGAGCTGCAGGAGCTGTTTATATATTTTGGAGATTAATCCTTTGTCCATTGATTCGTTTGCAAATATTTTCTTCCATTCTGAAGGTTGTCTTTTCATTTTGTTTGTAGTTTCCTTTGCTTGGCAAAAGCTGTTAAGTTTCATTAGGTCCCATTTGTTTACTTTCATTTTTATTTCCATTACTCTAGGAGGTGGATCGAAAAAGATCTTGCTGTGATTTATGTCAGAGAGTGTTCTTCCTATGTTTTCCTCTAAGAGTTTTATAGTGTCCAGTCTTACATTTAGGTCTCTAATCCATTTTGAGTTTCTTTTTGTGTATGGTGTTAGGGTGTGTTCTAATTTCATTCTTTTACATGTTGCTGTCCAGTTTTCCCAGCACCACTTATTGAAGAGACTGTCTATTCTCCACTGTATATCCTTGCCTCCTTTGTCATAGATTACTTGACCATAGGTGCGTGTGTTTATCTCTGGGCTTTCTATCCTGTTCCACTGATCTATATTTCTGTTTTTGTGCCCATTCCATATTGTCTTGATTATTGTAGCTTTGTAGTATAGTCTGAAGTCAGGGAGTCTGATTCCTCCAGCTCTGTTTATTTCTCTCAAGACTGCTTTGGCTATTCAGGGTCTTTTGTGTCTCCATACAAATTTTAAGATTTTTTTGTTCTAGTTCTGTAAAAAATGCCATTGGTAATTTGATAGGGATTGCATTGAATCTGTACATTGCTTTGGGTAGCATAGTCATTTTCACAATAGTGATTCTTCCAATCCAAGAACATGGTATATCTCTCCATCTGTTTGTATCATCTTTAATTTCTTTCATCAGTGTCTTATAGTTTTCTGCATACAGGTCTTTTTGTCTCCCTACGTAGGTTTATTCCTAGGTATTTTATTCTTTTTGTTACAATGGTAAATGGGAGTGTTTCCTTAATTTCTCTTTCAGATTTCTCATCATTAGTGTATAGGAATGCAAGAGATTTCTGTGCATTAATTTTGCACCCTGCAACTTTACCAAATTCACTGATTAGCTCTAGTAGTTTTCTGGGGCATCTTTAGGATTCTCTATGTAGAGTATCATGTCATCTGCAAACAGTGACAGTTTTACTTCTTCTTTTCCAATTTGTATTCCTTTTATTTCTTTTTCTTCTCTGATTGCCGTGGCTAGGACTTCCAAAACTATTTTGAATAACAGTGGCGAGAGTGGACATCCTTGTCTTGTTCCTGATCTTAGAGGAAATGCTTTCAGGTTTTCACCATTGAGAATGATGTTTGCTGTGGGTTTGTTGTATATGCCCTTTATTATGTTGAGGTAGGTTCCCTGTATGCCCACTTTCTGGAGAGCTTTTATCATAAATGGGTGTTGAATTTTGTCAAAAGCTTTTTCTGCATCTACTGAGATGATCACATGGTTTTTCTCCTTTAATTTGTTAATATGGTATATCACACTGATTGATTTACATGTATTGAAGAATCCTTGCATCCCTGGGCTAAATCCCACTTGATCATGGTGTATGATCCTTCTAATGTGTTGTTGGATTCTGTTTGCTAGTATTTTGTTGAGGATCTTTTCATCTATATTCATCAGCGATATTGGTCTGTAGTATCTTCATGTTCTTTCGCCAGGAAATGAAGATTTACAAGGATCATCTCTGCCCTACCTTTACGCAGGCTTGTCATGTTGATGGG